GCAGATAGGGAGATAATCGAGTCAAGTCGTAAGTAAACTGCGTGAATCGTTGTGAATTCTAGCATGCGTTTAAGTTAAAGTGACTGTGGAAATTAAGTGTATTGCAATGTTGTATTGAGAAAGAATAAACTAGTTTTATTTAAGAAAGAACTTGTATCGCTAAAGTTTCACCCGAAAAATATTATACGGGAAATTAACAAACGAACACAGACGTAACAATAGTTATATTATTTTCATTTTCTGCCGATAAAGGTAAATCTATATAAATATAGTTGTTGTCTTTTTGTATGTCCATGTAACTACTTCGCAGGGTGTGGATGGATCTTCACTGAAATTGGTATGGAGGTTCATGCGGGGGGTACATACAGATTTTCAGTTTTGCGGGTTTTATGGGCATTTGCGCGTTTTTTGCCACTACTTCACCCCTTGTAGATGGATCTTCACCAAATTTGGTAGGGAGGTTCATTGGGTCCATGGGGAGATACGTAAAAATTTCGAGTTTTGCGGTTCTTACGTAAAGATGATCACGATATTAATATCTGTATATTTGTTTTACTTCCACTTGTGGCGTTGCTGTACGAATGACAAAGCTCAAATTGTGCGAAAGACTTGGGCTTATGGCGGATTGGTGTATACCGTGTAATGAAGTGGTAAAATAAATATATAAAATAGTAACAAAAAGTAAGGATATTTAGAAAAATCAAAGAAACAAAATCAAAACGATGATAACAACAAAATGGGTTATTATAAAGGTCCGAAAATATTGTTCACTCAGGTTTACCGTTAAGTCAAAAGCCTTGTACTGTTGTAGGTAGGCCTATTTATCCTTTGCCTAAGGCTAAGTTAACATTATTATTACAATATTATTAACCTAATTTAGCTACTAAGCAGGTATTTGTAGTAATAACTATTTAAAAAAATTACAGAGGTAAATTATACCAGTAGTATATAATGTAATGTCTTAATATTATACATTAGTGTTTTTAAAAGTCAAGCAGAGCAAAGATAGCCCTTTGTGTAGCTTTGTGCTTAATAACAAACAACATTCAATTTTCAAGTGATTATATATATTTTGGGAAGATAAAAATCCGACGATGATCATTTTAAATTAAGTTTGAATAATTTTACTAATTATCTCACAAGTACTTTCATACTTAGATTAGTTTAACTTTGGCAGATAAACGTCCATATGTAAAAAAAAAAAAATATTAACGATGTATTAAAATTATTTAAAATTATTTTTAATTGAAATATGTATGCAATACTAATACCGTATGAGAGATGTGTAGTGTAATTTGTACACAATGATTTTTTACAATAGTGTTGCAGCGTTTAATACCTCACCAACACTCAACTATAAAACGTTTGTTTTGAAAATAAGATATTTATTTACCTTGAACGTTAAGTAATCTAGTGCTCAATTCGTTTAGCACAGTACATGCTATAAATGTTCTCTCATTTTCTCTTAAAATGTTTTAAGTGTATGATAATTACATTCCAAGAGATGGCGCCACCAGTATTAGTTATTATTTCACTTGTTCAATGTTGAGAGCAAACATTTTGAAAAGGTGTAACCTACCACGTACCGTCAGTAAAATAACTTTTAATAAGTTTTTTTTGTTTTGTTTATAAATATTTTCTCGAAGCTACACAATAGGCAGTTTGCGCATATCCGTCCCTATCTTTGTTGAATTTAATGCAAAGCTATTCAAGGGCTATCTGCACCAGCCGTCCCTAATTTTGAATAAATAGACTAGAAGGAAGGCAGCGAGTCAACAGTACCAACCGCCAACTCTTGGGCTAATATTTTCTGATTGAATACTAGGATTCGACCATCACTCTTTTACCGTACCCAGATCTCCAAAGTGTGAAATGCTGTTTTTCAGGCAGTGGACAGTGAACTTTCAACCATCGTGTCCACAGTTTGAGCACTCTAAGTACTAGGCTACGCTCGACGTATTTCATTCGTTCTTTTATTTTTTAAGTACTCAAACTATCTAGTTTGAACATCCTCTGTACTAGCGTTGGATTTGTGGTATTCAAGTCCACTGATATACAATATACAAGTATAAACTTTCTGCAAGAATGCAGATTTTGTAAATGCACTGCAGAAAATAATTTTGAAATTGAATAATAAGGAAAGAAACAAAATAAAATAAAAATTCTTAGTTGATTGAGCTCAAACTGGTTGTTAGGGCATAAGAAGCTCCCTACACATTCTCATGGGATTGAGGCATAAATAATTATTTTTCACATCTGTACAAGGTATAGACGAGAGGAAAACTCCAAACTCATACCAATTTGTACAAGTATCCAAGCAGTGGATACACGAACAGTACCAAATGATATAAATGGTTGAGTAGTATATAGTAATATGATTTTGAATATTCCAATAAGAAATTCATGTGGCGATCACAGCCGTTATAGAGTTGCGGTGGAAGTGCATGTTATATCAGAAATAAATTTTGACAGTTTTAGGCAGTTCGCAAATTGTGTGATGTTACTGAAAATTTATCGCTCTTTGAAACGATATGTAACAACACTTACATACACAAAATATTAACATTCAAATTATAAAGATATGTTCAGATCTGATATATATAATTTCCAAGAAAGGGATGTCCATTGTATTTAATAACATTGGAAACAAAGTAGTATGAAGGAACTTGGGGCACCAGGATTGACAAGAAAGAGGGCTGCAATAAGTTGTACCCCATTCCTGGCAAGAAAAGTGTGGCGTTTTGTAGAAGGTGAGAATTTACCAATTATAGAAAAGTCAGTGGCAAAAACCGTCCCATAGGCAACATAATCCAGGAGGATCATCATTTGAAAAAGGGACGACACAAGTCTCGTGTAAACAAATTGCTTCCACAATATATCAAATCAACTGTGGCATCACTAAAGCAGCTGTAGAATGAAACTCGTAAACATGTTGTTGACATAATATATCGTATTATCTTTTACTTCCACTAATGTGTTCTTAGAATTCCAGACACAGACATTCGATTCAAGTTCCGTGGATTTGTATGCGACTGGACTGTTGAAACATGACCAGGGAAACCGTCAGTCTTGTGTATACATTTTGGAAAGCTAGCAGGGACGGAGGAGGGGTGTGTACTTTGAACATGACAGCCTTATGATGGAGTATTTTACAATATAAACTAGGCTGAAGGACTATTGTCAGGATGCATGACCGTCAGATAGAACATGATTGGTCATGGAAACACTGACTGTAACGACGTTGCGAGCCTTCAAAGTCCTTTCAGTATAACATACTCAACACCTGAGTAAGAATCTAGTCATTTTCGTATGCAACCTTAACCTATGTAAAATGATTATTATCACGTGTTTCCGACCTTTAGACATCCCGAATATTAAGATAATGCCTACTAGTTATGTAAAAGTGAAATTTGTAGCTATTCCAGCTTCAAGACTGTAATGACCACCATAAGATGACTGCTGAACCATGCTTCTTTAATATCATCTGTCTGGATAATTATATTGAAAGAACATCCATTTTCATGGTTTTCCTTGTTTAAGTATTATCACTGATCACTATTAAAAACAATCCTACTGTGTTCTGAGCACAAATTATTAAAACGTCGTCTTTAGATAACTGCTTCTTTCTGGAAAGATCTGTGATAATTTGTTTGTTAATTAAAACCGTATAGAGTTTCAGTAATGTACAGAATTAAAAAATCGCGTCTTGCGTAACAAATATATTAAGTAACGGCCATTATATAAAAACAAAGAATTTTGACGATTTTCTCGATATAATTTCATTCTTAACCTTTATTTCTAGCTTCGGTGTTTTTACATTAAATCACTGTTGTAAAAGTGTAAACATGTTCGAAAAAACAACAACTAATAAATGATACATAAAAGACGTGGAATGCAACCATAATAGCGACATTTTTCCACAATCTTATAAGAATTGCTGAAATTGCGAGTGAATGAACCTCTGTAGAAACACATCACTCACGTTAAATCATCAACATTTGATGATGAAAATACTTTCAAGACATAAAACACAGCAATTTTGGTCTTGGAATTTTCAAGCCCTGATCAAGACATACGGCAATGTGTCGTGCAGCCAAAACTACAACCTGCAGGACATACCATTTGTTATTAACTGGAGTGATACTTTAGCGAATTTCCACCTTCTGTAACTCGGACTGTGATAATCCAAACTATCACATATTTTCAGTGGAACTGCTCTACTGGAACCTTACTTCAATTACCAAATTTCAAGAGAGTTCGTTTAGAAATACACAAGATATAAAATCTCAAATTTTAATTGAATTTTTTTTCTTTTCTACGCACCAAAAGTACAGAAACTTTATTTGATAGAAAAAAATACCTTACTTTTATGGATTTTCTTTCAATTTTGGAACACTGATACATCTTTACAACCTACAATTAGGTGTCAAATTTGATCTAAACATGAGCAACATGTACAAAGTTATTCAACAAAAACCGCTCAGTTATAAACAAAATGTTTGCGCACGCCTACGCAAAAGACACGGGAGCTATCGGTCTAACATTTTTACTACAGCTTCACCTCAGAGTAAAATTGGACAGTTTTTAGTTTTTTTTGTCATTCGGATTAAAGACCACTGATTTAGAGCAGCAAAACTGTAGGGCGAAAGCACGTGCAGATACACAAGTATTGGTTAGGCCAAGTAAACTAGATTAGCAGTTTCTAGCTCAAGTTTACAAAAGAATCATACGAGTGAACGGTTATTATTCATTATTCGTTGCCAACATTTAAGCACAAGTTTGCTAAACTTTAGGAAATTATCCTAATTAAAGAGCGTTTAGCGTCACATGGTATTAGCGTAATTAATTAGCATAAATAATGATGCTTGATACGGTTGTACCAAGTGCATGCGGATAATAACAAAAAATGTTAATCTAGATTCCATGGCGTTACTATAAATGACTTACCATTTTAAAGAAGCTGGTTGGTTTTGTAAAGTATAGGTCTGTTCCGAATAATAGGGTTGCGATACTAAAGCTAATGTTGGTTACTATCGGGTCTCACTTTCTTACTTTTTCAACTTGAGGCATAATGGTCGGTAAAATAAAATACGAAACCTACCTACCCATACACGTATACGTTGTGTATGTTTTATTCTTTGTATTTTAAGTTCTTTCCCCGGACTAAAAGTTAACGTAGGTTTTAAATAGTTTTACTTAGTTACTTTCACATTATGTAGATTAGTTGATACGTGGAATTATATAAATTAAATTATATCAATTTATTATATATATTAATAAAACACCATATAAGAAACCTAATAATTCCAACAAGCGTTATGATCAACGTGAAAATGTAATCAGCGTTTCTTATTGTCAACGTTTGAATTTTCCCCATTTTCAAATGTTATATATTGTTACTTTGGACTTCTTGAAAATTACAACGTTAAAAAAAAAAAAGATGTTTTCGAATTTGATAAATAATCTGAAACGTGTATATCCTTTGAGTTGAGTTATAATATTTTACAAAATTATTGAGTTTCACTAAGTACCGGCGGTTTCAAATGTCAAGTATAATATTTTGTTAAGTTGGAGGCCATAGTAATAAAAGTAGACAATCCTCTTCTTTAAAACTGAGAGAGAGAAATAACAGGAATTTCTAAAATTAAATTGCATTTCCATACATAAAAGTAATGTTAACGCTAATTTGTTGTTTTTCAGAATTTGTAGTCCATACTGGAGGGATTTAAACATTTTGGGAATAAAGTTAAAAAATAAAACAACCTTTACCCTTCAGCTTAATAACCCTGATGAAGCTGCAATGTCGAAATAAAAAAAAATTGTTATTTTTCTAGTAAAGGTCGTTTTTTTAGACATTGTATAGTTTTCATCTCGAATCATAACAACACCGCGAACCAATAGGATTTCAGTCTGTTATCACGTGACATTATTTGTTGTGTTTATGTGCAGGAACGAAAAGAAGTCACAGTGCATCGAAAATAGAGAGAACGTACATTTCAATCGGTAAGTTTAATTTTAAGTTATTGTGAGTTTTAGGTTGTGGGATACTATTAACTATTTTGCAACATGAAATTAGGTAACTACACGTTAAAATAAAGTTATTAGAATTCAAGCAAGGCCTAGTGCTTGTAATAGAATTAGTAACTGGTATTTAACGTCGTTGATTCGTACTCGGCCTAGTAATAATAAGTCTACTACTAGTAATAGTACTCGTTACGTGTTACCGAGTGAAAATTAAAACAGTCCTAAGTCACGAAGTACGTTGGTAGCTAAGTTATAGTCTAACACTCAACTTTTGAACAGATAAATTTAGAAAATGATAATAAAAGCAGCTATGGAGCTTGAGTTTTAGGCTGGTGTATACCATCGTACTTGTCAACCTTTAAAATAGATAGGTCAGCAGCATGCACCGTGCTTGGAGGACCCGTTGGTACAGTCCCACGGAAAGTGTAAGTTACACAATATACCACAAGCGAAGTGGCGGCGGTCGCCTAATTCAACTGTTTACTTTTGTGTGCCAATTGAATCATTGAAAACAGTTATTTATGATATATAAATAAATAGCAATTTTATTTTATGGTAGGATTACCTTCTAAAATGTTATTTGGGTGAAAGTTCCTGAAATAGTAGCTTACTGTGTGAATCATTAATACTGATAAATATGCTAAACATCAGGCTTAAACTTAAACTCTCAACTTGTAACAGACCACAAAATGAAAAAGTTAAATATCCTTCTGCCCTTCTATTTAAGTTTATACACAGTTGATAGAAAATAACCAAAAGCTTGTAAGTTATTACAGTCTAGGTAGTATCATGGATTTTTGGAACATGTTTTTTATTTGACTTATTTCTACCTTGCTTTATAACATTAGTCGAAGACTGTTCGGTATAACATACACTATCTATTTGTATTTGATTGACATCAGATTGTTGTCATGTTTTATAAGTCTTCTTGTGAACAAGATTACTATAGTTGTATTTATTTCAATATAAGCTGTGCGATATCAAAGAACCTTTTGATTTACCAAGGATATTTTGGCTTCCAACATCCCTCGACAAACAGAAAATGAATTACTAAACCCGGGCTCTGGTCCCAGAAATGTTCATCGAACATTTTCTTAAATTTCTCACTTCTACCATTATACAGAAATTTGTTCTACAGATTTACCACTTTGAATACTAAAATTCATTATCTCTGATTGTACTGCCCTCAGATTTCAACTAGAAAAAATCAGATGTATTAATTCCTATAACAATTCTGCATACTTCTATTATATTTCCCCCATTTTAAAAAGAGGATAATTAAGATATCTCAACATACCTTCGTATGACATCCATAGTATCACCCCAGCAACTACTTCTTGTTTGATAAATATAGTTTACTAGTTTCTTCATGTTTTAATGAATGATTAGACACTATTAGTTACCAATTAGTTACATTACAGGCTACAAGGAACATAACCAAACTAATTATTATTTTTGGTGAAATTTACTGTCATTTTTCAGTTTTTTCTTCGGGGGATTTTTCCAGTATTTTGATTATTATTATTATTAATTTATGATGAAAACAAGCTTCCTGTGTAGATCACAACTAAAAGTACTCCATTAATTAATGTAGCTAATTTAATATACCTGTATAACTAATAATGTACAATATTCATTTTGATATCTAAGATACCTATCAAACATATCCACTGTTACCTTTTTGAGGATGCTGCTTGTTATCTGAAATTGTGTGAAATATGTGTACTTAAGTTTTCTGCGGAAGAAAATCACAGAAAAGATTAATTATGTAGGTTGTAGGGTGACTGAATTAGAGAAAACAACAAGCTGTCAATTAAATTGGACCATTGTTACTAATGGTGTGCCTCAGGGGTCAGTACTTTGGCCTTTGCTTTTTAATCACTAGCTAGGCCTCACTGTACATGGTTTTGGTTTTGACAGGGTTTGAAGGTGAATAGCTATTGGATGATTCTGTGGAGGGAAGGGTTATCCTATAGTGATAGTTTAAGAGCTTTTAATATATTTTCTCTTGAGAAAAGAAGGGTAACAGGTGATCTCGCAGAAGTTTAAAACATTATACAGGGATTGATAGGGTAAATGCCTTTGATTTATTTATGCTGTATTGTGAAGACAAGAGGATTAGAGTACACAAGTTTAAGATTTGGAAAAGATAGGCTAGACTGACAGAGTGATTGACAGCAGCAGAGAAAGCTAGTAACTTACAAGAACAGAATAGATGATTTCCTGAAAAATAAAGGGTTGGTTTAAATTTTTATTTTTGTACATTAATTATTTTAAAGGACTAAATGGTCTCTTGTTGTCTGTAAAATTGTAGATAAGATCTTTTAACAGGTAGATGAAAGTGTGCATGTTACAACCCTCTGATAGAATTACATTCAAAAGTTCATTACACTACTATACTTGGCATCAAAACAAGAGTTAATAAATCAAACTTTAATATCATTTGAGTTTTAATTTCAATAGGATATATTTAAATATATTCTCAACTCTCTGTATTATGTGACACTTCTTCTCTCCTAATTGCTCAGTTTAGATGTTCTTTCTACCACTATTTGAGATTCGAGTTTTTAATGCAAATTACAAACTTGGTGTATTGATATTGCCAATATATAATCTAATGTTATAGCCTCTGATCATTATGATATACAGAGTTATAAACCAGACAGTTACACCCTACTATCATATAGGTCAGTAATTCTCTCTGACATTTGATAATAGATTATCCCATTCTCACAAAAGTAGCTTTTGCTGAGTTCACCTCAACCAACTAATGGAGATTCTTAAATGCACTTATAGCATAGTTGGAAGGCCAGTTAAATGATAATAGTTGCATGAAGCTGTATTCTTTGTGCATTTTATTATTTTTTGTTCCTAATTTAGCATTTTAAATACATAATAACCCTACCAAAAGCTAGAATTCACTTTTATCGAGATTTCTTTTTTTTATGTATCTTTTTTAGTTATTTTATGAAAATAACTAAATTTTAAAAATGTAGAAACTTACCAGGTTAGATAAGAAAACAAAAATTAAATAAAAAATATTTCTCAATGAAATATACATGTGTGTTATGTAATTCAA